ATGACCACCCCCTCCATTCGCAAGCCCGCCCCCGCCTTCACCGCCAAGGCCCTCGTCGACGGCGAGTTCAAGCAGATCTCCCTGTCCGACTACCTCGGCAAGTATGTCGTCCTCTTCTTCTACCCCCTGGACTTCACCTTCGTCTGCCCCACCGAGATCATCGCCTTCTCCGACAACATCCAGAAGTTCAAGGACATCAACACCGAGGTGATCGCCGTCTCCGTCGACTCCGTCTTCACCCACCTCGCCTGGACCAACACCCCCCGCAAGGCTGGTGGCATCGGCCCGATCTCCTACCCCATGGTCTCCGACATGAGCCGCGAGATCGCCAAGGACTACGGTGTCCTCATCCCCGAGGAGCACATTGCCCTCCGTGGTCTGTTCATCATCGACGACAAGGGTATCCTCCGCCAGGTGACCATCAACGACAACGCCGTCGGCCGCTCCGTCGAGGAGGCCCTGCGCCTGGTCTCCGCCTTCCAGTTCCACGACAAGCACGGTGAGGTCTGCCCCGCCGGCTGGAACCCCGGCCAGGATGGCCTCCCCACCAGCCAGGATGGTGCCGCCGCCTACTTCGAGAAGCACAACTAAGCGCACTCTCCGCTTGGGGTGTCCCGCTCTCTCATGCATGTAAGTCTGCCATGTGAGGGCGCTCTCTGGGCCCCGACGGGCGTGTGGGCGGCCGCGCCCACCGCGCCATGGATGCCGACATGTCTGTTGTTGCTCCTCGCGCACGTGTGTGCTGCGCGCGCGCGCGCGTCGTGTGACGCTCATCCTTCGGCGTCCCCCCCTCCCCACCGGCAACCAAGCGCGCCCCCTCCCCCCCTATATGTCTCTTGTAGGCGGAGGTGTGCCGGGTTTGCAAAGGGGAGGAGGGGTCCGCCGACGAAATATACTCCCTCCCGAACACTTCCCCTCCCCAGAATCGACATGCCCCATGCCTGTGCGGGTAGGTCTGACCCCAACCATCCCTTTCCCTCTCTCTCTCTCTCTCTCTCTCTCTCTCTCTCTCTCTGGGCGGGCGGATGGGCACCCCGTTGGTCAGCTTCAGCCATCTGGGCTGCTGGCAAGGGCCAGGGGCGTATCCTGTCCGCCTTTTTTTTTCTGGGGGGGGGGGGCGGGGCACAAGGCCGCGCCGTGCGAAGGGCGGCAGTTCCTCCGGATGCCAGGGCTGGCAGCGCGCTGGGCACACCTGGTGCGGAGGGGGGGGCCGAGGGCTGACAGCGCTTGGACTGGCGCACGCTCGATCGCCACCCCGGCTGTACGATCGCACCCGGCAGACCGGCAACACAGGGCGAGGGGAGCGGGGGATACGCCCAGCAACGCGCTCCTCCCCGCACGTCCGGGCCAGCCAGCAGGCGCGGAAGCCCGGCCCGGCCGCTGACAAAGCTGTCTTGGCGGCCCTGCCACCGGATAGCCGTGTAAATGCCCATCCGTCGGGACCATCCCGAGCGCAGCGCCGTCAGTTGCCGCGCCGGCCTTCCCGCAAATTGGTCAAACATCGCGTTTCCGCCCCAGGGGCATCCTGTGCTTCTTTCCCTTCTCCCGAGCCGACGACCCAAGAAATGCCCCCCCCCC